AGGTTTGACGTAGAACTCTGAGGTTCGACTAGTTAATTTTTGAACTTCTTATCGGCTTCAAAGAAAATTGTTCCTCTTTTGTCCAGTCGAGAACTCTGCAAGCGTTGCGCAGACAAGCAATGCTTGCTGAGTTCAAGCGGTCTCCCCACAGCGCAGTGGCGCAAACTAAACAAATTGCACTATTACCACAGGCCCGGTAGCGCGTCTTCTACCCGAACCGAGGCTGAACTCTCCACACGCTGCTTTAGTGCCCGTATTTGAGAATCCTTAGGCACCCAAGTTCCTAAGAATGAGAAGTCTGCAGCTTCACCGCTAAACAATTGACTACCTTGCAGTCGTCAACCACCCCGAGAAAGGCCTGTAAGCAGGTATGGGGGAACCTCATATCCTGCACAAAGTAAAGGAGATGGGCGGGATAATGGTATGGACCTTAGATATTGGGGTTCTTGTTTGAAACTCCCAGTGTTCTCCTTTAGTATTTTGTTCTTTTACTGTACGGTCATATCTCCCGGACTTCACTATAAAGCTGTCTTTGTGTGTTGTGTATTTCTGAAAACCCACAAAGGAAGGGTCAGTGCTGCACGAATTTTTATCCTTCCGAAACCTATTTTTGAAATGTTCAAAGTCACATAATGTACACAAAATGGGGGGCATCTGAGTGTTGTAAAAAAGAGAATGCAACGTGTTTTGTATGTGTGTGAAAATTGCCAATAAAAAGCTTTAAAATGATTTTTTTTTTAGATTTGGCTATTTTGGCTATATTTTTTTACGGCTCTGGCTATATTTGGGCTATACTCCCCAGCGATTTGGCGATTTTTTGTGGGGCCATCTGGCAACACTGACAGTAATGAACTTCCCAGTGAACTGTCAACCACATTTTCCTTTCTTGTGTTCTGTTTTGCGTCCTGTATATTCTTAGAGCTGATTTTTCCTGCATTCTTACCTCCCACATTTTTCTCTCTGCTTTTTAGCTCACTTTTCCACTGAAGTTGTCTGCTCAGCCCCATCACAAGTGTGTACCGTATAGGACGATTCTGGGATTCAGGTACACTGACTGACAGCTGAAGAGACGCAGATTGTGCAGATTCCCGGCCACTTTATTTTCGCGCTCCTGCCAATATGACTGCGACATCGCCTATTGAGAAAGTCGAAGACCGAATGACCGATTTAAAATTATAATCGCAATAGGCCATGCCTAGGTATCGCAGGTTATGGCGAAGGTGAGACGGGTAAAGCGCAACCACATGGAGAGTGCTTCAAGCATCCTCTGAGCGTCAGTTGCGTTGACGAAAAGCTATTTTCTGTTTCTCATAAATTCAAGCTGACGCTACAAACACCAACGGATTGTCTCGAACGATGGTTTTATTTTACGAGCGTGCGGGCATTCCAGGTTCGTTTGAACGTTCGAAGCGTCGACTTCACTTTAGCTGCTCTTTTCTTGCTCGCCCTTACGGTAAAGTCGAGTACACATTTATACGAGCTTCTGGAGAACAGGTCTTTTTGTAATGGTTGTCAGTGGGGTGACAATAAATATTTGGCATTGCCCAATTCTCTCGTTCAGTTGTCCCCTTCATTTTTCTTTCACTGTTAAGTGCAGCGGTTTAGATTTTATTTGCATATGGCGCAGTATCTGTTCTGGAATTTAAAAGTTACGCGTGCATTTAAGCAATCGATTGCTAACTAATTTCTCAATTCTAGTTGGTCAAGGCAGAGAAGATGGCGCAAGCTACCGCCTGATACGAACGATATCAGTTATATTTGTTAGTCACCCATTCGGACAGCAGCCATCTAAGTTTCTAACCACGGTGTGAACGGAAGCGTCTATACAGGAAGCCAAGACCAACTTCAACGGCAGCCACTGTAGGTGAACTGACAGTCAAGTAAGTCTCTGCGGCCAATCGGAGTTGCCACACTGTACGTTACACTATATTGCTCTACCATAAGCCCCCCAAAAAAGGCAATTTTTTTTTGCAACATTAAAAAGAAGGTTAGAAAAACTAGTAATATATGTAAAAACAATACGTGCCCCCCCTCCACCTCAAAAAAGAAACGAAACAGAAAAGCCGGATTTTGAATAAAACTAAACCTAAAACGCGAAACCCTATAAGCACTGACAGGTTAAAAGAAATGCTAGGCGTTACTTAGAAGGATCCCACTTCGTGATTTCTTCTTCACTGTCCGTATCGGCTAATGGCGCAATCTGATTGGCTGAGAAGCCATAATGGGATTCTCTGGACTCGCCACGCCCCTTCATTTCTACGGCATGCCATTACTAGTGTGATAATAATTTTGCTAACTTAATGCGATTAGCGTTTAGCAGGCTGTGCATGGTTCTCATACATGCATGCTCTGTAGGTACAATTAGCGAGTTTTTCTCAAGTACCTAAGAAAAAGAATCCCAAATATTTGATGGAACTCCGATAAACGTACCCAAATCTTTGGTAAAAAAATTATTGTTCCGCGACAAAAAAAAAAATAATTCCTTAACACTATTTGGCGTGGGAAAATATTCTCTTAAAAAATGTCAAGTCCAACCAAAAAAATTTTTTTGTTCGCTTTGACGTTACTGTTGTTGCTTCACCAAAGGCCTACGATTCCAGACACTTAGATGAGTGTTGTGACATCTCCCTTATTTGTAACCCCAGGCTCGGGGCCTTTAAAAGCACCATTGCGAAAATGGACGTTGGTAACGCGGGTGTCACGAATAACAGTTAATCGATATGGCAGTTTACGTCAAGCAAAGAATAAAGTTCTCTTATTCATTTTGTTTCAATCCGTAGGGAAGAGAAGGACACGCAGCCGGCTGAAAAGCGGTACCATCATGACGTGGATTGTAAGTTTAGGTTGTAGATAATAATAAATAAATGATGGTGCTTTGAATCAAATCTGGATTCCTTAAAACGCTCCAATAGTTCGGAATGTAAAATCACATTGTTAAAAAAGCCTAAAATTAGTCGTTCTTCTTTTTCTAATTTAGTTAAGTGCAAAAATGAAAGATTGGGCTTAAAAGTGCGAACTGCCAACCCATTCAAATGGTCATGCTCACGCCTACAAGCCATCCCGCTAACGCCGAAAAAAGAAATGAACTTGAAAATATACAATTAAAAAAGCACACACACAAAAAAGAAAAGCGACATTCCGCCATCCCTTTTTCGTCAAAGCGAGTGGCCACAGGTAACGCCGAGATTTAAGAACAGTACTGCTCTGCTACAAGGTCACTTCTCAAGCACCGTTCTCAGTGACCTCAATTTTGTCACTCCTAAAAAGTTCCCTTTCTTTCTGGCACCCTTTCAAGTATTGTTCCACCCTTCTTCTGCTGCAATGCCCCATTAAGGGGACACAACCGACACTCTCTCCCTCCTTAGGCGCGTGGGGAAAGGGTAATGGCCGGGCCACTCACATGACTCAATTACCGAGGTTCAACGGTGACCTCACATCCCTCAAGGGTCATCACTTTTATGGAAACAGGAGACTCGGCCCAGTACGATTTCTTAACTCGACCCTCGAGGATCTCATGGAGCAAGACATGATGACACCGGAAAGAACGTCCCGCCCGTGCCCTTACCCAACGTGTTTCTATAGCTCTGACAGAACCTTCAACCTGCGCCGACATCTGGACAGAAAGCACCCGGGTTACAGGGCTGGGCATCCTTGCAGCAGCAACGGCTGCGCGGTGTGTCGACTTTATGGTACTCCCGTAGAGTACGCCAAGACCATTCCTATGCCACAAGTGGGATCAGCACAGGGCAGCCCTTGGAGCGCGGGAATCTTAGGATTGACACCGGTGAGCAACCAGCCGATCTTCTTCCAATGCTGCCCGCTGGACCTGACCGTTTCTCGACACCTGGTCTCATCTCAATCTGGAGCTGAAGACCAGCCCCTCGATCTTTCCACACGGAGCGTCAACAACTCCCGGGGTGTCTTCACTCCGAATCCTCAAAATCTTGGCAAGTGCAATTCTTCGACGCCGCAACACGTATATCCCGGAAGCTGCCTGGAGACGTCCATGAATCAAGGAGATGCGAGACAAGCCACATTTCCTAGCGGTGGAAGGTACCTCATGGATGGGGGCTACATTTTCGCTTCGGATCCTCAAGCCTTCGGAGAATGTTCTGCTTTGACCTCCCAACCGGTGTTTCCGATGTGGAAGCTGAACGTTTCCGAGGTGGGACCTTGATCGACGCAACATTTCTTGCCATGGTTTGAATCCACTTTTGTATTCCGTGAGAGTTCATTCTATTGCATGCCTTCCTTTTTTATAAGCGAGTGAGATGTAGTCTACGGCGTTTTCAGTTCATTTGTATGCGTTTCCACTTAGTGTCCCGGTAAATCGGCATCGCAGAGATCCGTAAACCTCTTTGTCATGTGCCTCTGTTGAACCAGAAATAAATACGCTTTTTGGTAATAATCTGAAATCCTGTGTTGCTGCTTTGTCAATTTATACTGCGCACCGTTCCCAAAAACGATTTGCCGATAACGGTGGTCTCCACAGCAAAACAATCTTTCGAAGGGTTAATTTTCACCTCTACGCCTACTTCAATACTAAGTGGCGGAAAGAGGCACACCGTAGGAGAGAGATCAGCAACAACATAAAACGTGGAATTCACCTGCGCACCTGTAAACAGTACCTAGATTAATTCGTTACCAGCCTATCCATGAGTGGGCAAGTGGATCATGACGAGCTAATCGAAGGTGGTAAGTCGCACTCGGGGATGTCTGTACGGCAGACACTCAATGCTCCGTTCTCCACAATGCTTGGAGTTGACAAAATTTAGCTAGAGTGATATCAAAAATTGATGATGCCAGGTATTTGAACCCAAGTATATCCACACAGTTCCAACTTCTAAACTGTAAGTTTAAAGGTCATAAAGCAATTCCTGAGTAATGGTAAATAAATATAAATAACTTGTTTTCAAGCAGCTTCTTTTATACTTCGCGAGGAGAACAAGCCATCTGAAAATATTTTTTCCGACAAATCTGGTAGGCTTTGGCATACGTACGTTTAACATACTGAGACATCCTGAAGGTAGATTGGAAACTTTCAATAATAAATATGAAAGCAAGATAAATCCAATTCAAGTTACACATTATTTTCCGACCTGATCCCCCCAAAGCTGGACATACTTGGTCCAGCGTTTCTCCAGCTTTTCGATTCCATCGCGGCAGTGACTTTCGTCAAAATCCCAAAAATAATATTTCCCAGTCTCCTTTACCTCTTCACTCGACAGAAATATATTTCCAGCCAGGAAAGTTTTGAGTTTCGACTATAGCTTGAAATCCGAGGGAGAGAAATGAGGTGAATACGGTGGATGCGGCAGGATCTCGAACTTTTTTGCTGTCAGCTTTTACTGAGCGGCTGCACAGTTTTGAATGTGCGGGTGCGTTATCGTGGTGAAACAACATCTGTTTCTTCACCACTCCCGGGTGTTTTTCTTAAATTCTTTATTTGCAGCTTGTCCAGAAGTCTTATGTAGTATCTACCAGTTACAGTTGTTTCCTTTTCAAGATAATCAATGAGCAAAATGCTTTTGGCTTCCCAAAACATTGACGCCATCACCTTGCCAGCCGACTGAATGGTCTTTGCCTTCTTCGGAGGCGGTTCACTGGGCCCAGACCATTGTTTCGATTGACTTTCTGATTCCGACGTGTAACGGTGGACCCACATCTTGTCCATAGTTACAAGTCATCCACTGAAGTCTTTTGCATTTGTCTGAAACACAGTTGCAAACTGTCAGCTGACATTAGAGCTTGAATGTGTTTTTTCTCCGGAATCAGCAAATCCGGCACCCATATTGCAAAAGGTTTCTTTATTACCAATGCATTGCGTATGTAACGTGATGGCAAAAAAGCGACAGCGTTCGGTCTTAGGCTACCATTTTTATATCTGTCTGCGTTCCCCTGGCGCGCGCTCTCGGAGCGCGCTTCTTCTTCTCCGTGGCGATACTAGCGATCATCACACTATCCCCCTTCACGAGGAAGTTGCCGTCCCGGCACTAGGCATCTCACACTAGAAGCACTCAATCGCGATACCGCGCGGGTCGACTCAATGTTTCTCGTGGCCGAAGGACGTATCGCTCCGCTGGCTTTGCCTGCTATGCACGTCTACAGGCATGTTCGTTGGAGTGACGTCCTCAGGGGGCAAAAGAACGACTGGAAGTTTATCGTCGTCCAGGAGTTCGGCACCGTTCGCTGGTGACGTATTGTGCTGGCCTCCGTCAGTGCCCTGGTCACCGTTTTCCTCTACTTGGTCGTCAACGTGAAGCTCGTTGTCGAGGGTGTCTAACAGCGGTGGGTTCTCATAAGCGTCAGCCAGGTTCAGATCCTCAGCTGCTTGTACCGGTGGTAGACTTTCGACCGCATCGACGTACAGATCATCACCTTCAACGTCTATTATGCCTGGGTAGTCTGGGACTGCTGGGCGAGTAGGAGTCGGGTCGTTATTTTTGTTTTCTGTGATAATTATATCGGGGAAGTCTTTGAGTGCTGGTGCAGATAAAGGCAGGTCGTTATCCGTGACGTGTGATAACGTCCTGGCAGGCAGCAAGACTGGCTCCTTCCCATCAGCCACCCGCTTCAAACGATTATGGTGTACAACCCGCCGCTTCCTTTTTCCAGTTTCTTCCTGGATTCTGTACAGGTTGTTAGGAAGCTTCTTGAGGACTACATAAGGACCCAACCATGGCAAATATAACTTCGAGGACTGTCCTCGCGGCACAGCGGAAGAATGTAGAACTCTGTCGCCAGATTCGTAGTCTTCTTCACTGATCGTGCTGTCGTAGTGGCGCTTCTGTGCATCATTTTCTTTCATGTCGTTTACAATTGCGTGGTCGCGAGCCCTTTGTAGTGTTGTCAGTAGGCGGGAAGCGTGTTGTACATTACTGGAAGTCGACGCCATGTTAATATGGACGTGCACGTCGAGCAGCATGTCAGCTGGTATATTCATGTGTCTACCGAAGAGCAGATAATGAGGACTGTAACCACTCGATTCATGCACGCTCGAGCGATAGGACATCATGACGAGAGGGAGCTTGATGTCACAGTCAGTCTGTGTGTCATTGACGTGCGCACTCAAGCTGTTCATCAGCGTGCGATTGAATCGCTGAACCAATCCGTCCGACTGGGGGTGGTAAAGGGAGGTCCTTGTCATTCGGATGCCCAAAATTGAGCACATTTCTTGAAAGACGTTGCTCTCGAAAGTTCCGCCTTGGTCAGAGTGTAGTGCTGACGGTATCCCGTAGCGACTGAAGAAGTTGTGGACAAGACTATTGGCAACCTCCTTGCTTTCTTGAGTCTTCAGAGGGAACGTTTCAACTCATCGAGTAAAATAGTCGCTCACCACCAACATGTACTTGTGGCCTGGAAACGGACCAGTGATGTCAATAGCCACTCGCTCAAAAGGGAAGATGGCCACTTCCTGAATCAGTGGTGCTCGTGGTCTGGGGTTTGGTGCCTTACGAGCGGAGCACTTAACACATCTTGAGCACCAGTCGGTTACACTGGGTGCCATTCGAATCCAAAAAAACCTTTCTGCGGCCTTCTTTAGTGTCTTGGCGCGCCCAAGATGTCCGCCCCTCGGTGCACCATGAACGGAGTCTAGGGCCAGCGGTATTCCTGCATCGGGGATCACGGGAAGAGGGGTTGACTCTGGTGTTTTTGCCCACATGAGGCAGCCGTCGACGAGCCTTAGCTTCTGCCGGTTGCGGAAGAGCACTCCCGCGCTACATCGACGAATCTCTCCTACGGCGTGCCTGCAAGCAGGGCGTCGATGATGGGCGAAAGCTGCGGGTCACGTCGTTGTTCTTCTCGAAGGTTTGTCATGGTGAAAGAAGACTGTGCAACTGTCATGAGCGCGACATGTTGGCCTTCATTCGCCGGGGAAGGCCGTCGGGACAGCGAATCTGCATTTCCATGTTGTTTTCCCGGCCGATGCGAAACGATAAAGTCATACCCGCGGAGTTGGTCAATCCAGAGGGCGACTTTGCCTTCCGGTTCGTTGAAGCTGTGTAGCTATTGAAGCGCGCTGTGATCCGTCCTGCACGTGAATCGCCGTCCAAGCAGATAGTGCGTAAAGTAACGGACGAAATTGGTGTCCCCGTAGTCGCCGACAGATGCCCAATGGCACAGTATTGGTGTCCCCGTAGTCGCAGACAGATGCCCAATGGATGTTAGTCTTGAGGCTATCTCAAGAGCTTTCTCAAATGTTGAAGGGTCAGCGGCGAGGACTTTGTCACGCAGCTTGGATTGGAGACCCACAATGAACTGCTGCCGTATCATCGGCTCGCCCACCTGTAGGGACACCTCTGGATAAGCCTGTACAAAGAGGTCCACGAGGTCCTAGGCATAGACGTCTTTGGGTTGATGGCCGCAGAACCGAAACTGTGCCACGGACACAGCACGCTGGCCCGCCGACGCCAAACGAAGTGTCAACGCCTTCACTAGTGCGGGAAAAGTGGCCTTGTCTTGGTCGGGAAGATGCTCGAAGACGCGGAAACTCATCCTCGGAGGCGTGTCGGCAGGTACACCAACTTTTTGGCGTCGTCCCAACCGTTGACTGCCGCGCAAGTGGAGAAGAGCTTTGCCCATGACTCTAAGCTTCCCTCACCGATGAAGACGTCCGGTGGCCACCCCACCGCTGCCACCGATTGTAACCTGATGGCCAAGAAGCGATAGCGTTCGGTCTTAAGCTTGTTTCACATGCAGCGATTTTGGCCCTAAAGCGGCGCGATTTCCGCCGTCGCGGCGCTCGTGCCGCAGAATATCTGGTGCTGGCCAGAGCGCCGCGACGGCAGAAATCGCGCCGCTCTAGGGCCAAAACCGCTGCATGTGAACTAGGCTTGAGGCTACCATTTTTATATCTGTCCGCATAACCCTGGCGCGCGCTCCCAGAGCGCGCTTCTTCTTCTTCGTTCTGGCGATACTAGCGATCATCACACGTATAATATGGACACAGCTCGTTCAGAGGAGGTGCCCTGCCCTCTGCTTCCTTAACATCACAGACTTTTACGCGGCGCTCTTCCAAATCCAAGTCGCGGATTTTATCCGCAATTATTCTGATGTTGTAGCAGTCTTGTACGGAACGGCGTTCCAAGGAACGGCGTTCCTGGAACGCGTTCCTTTTAGGAGGAACGAAGGAACGCCGCCGTTTCATTTTGTATTGGTGGAACTGGAACGGGAACGCGTTACATTTTTACTGGAACGGATAGAGTAACGGCGTTCCTTTTTTTCGTCCAGTGGGGTAATTTTCATTTTATTTCTAACAGGGAAAGTATGAAAGTACAAAAACAATATCGTTACGAAGAGCAGGATCTCGTTAACTTTTTGGCTACTAATCTTATGGATTATTTTGTGTGGTCTTCGCTTGCAAACAGTTTTGGGTGCAGGAGACCTGGTAAGCATTGATTCTTTTTTGAGTGCCCAAAAATACAAAAAGCGAAACGTTTAGTCGTAGGAGAAGACAAAGAAAGAGAGTTGTTTCAAACTTAGCTACTTTCTTTGGTTCCACGAATCCTCATACACCCAGAAATCTTATTCCAACTACAGCCATTTTTGAACTTCAATAACGAAACCTACGATTACAACAAAATCACAAATTGACAGCCATCGGACTCACCCGTCTATCCCCAACATTGATCACTTAAAAGATGCACAAACAAATAACCTTTATTCCTTCTCTTGTCCCCCACCTTCAGACTGAACAACAAATCCAACCTTCACAAAAAAATATTTGTAACCCTACCCCCTCCTTCACTTGCTCGTCTTGCGGACAGCAACATCGAGAAGCAACTGTTGTAAAGTTCTAACACGGGGCTTTGTTAATTGAAACGTGTGAGGTTGTTATAAAACGCTCGTGCAATCTTGGGTAAAAGTACATTCGGCTCGTCTGAATTGTCCACTCCAAAGATGGACATGGTTAATAGCCAAGATTTTTAACATGAGTGTATCAACAAATGAAACCCTGCTTCCGCGTGTTTTCTTCTCCTGGTGCCTTTGTATCACGGCATCCAAACTCGTATACTGAT